CGAAATTCAAAAAACAAACAGACGTAGGAGGACTTGTTTTTTCGTGAACTTCTCTCACAAAAAACACACTTTTGTTTTCAATAACTTTTTTTTCAGACCGACCATTCAGCACACACATATATATATATACATAGAGAGAGTACTCTTCGGTGCTCTAGTATGACATCACTAGTCTCTAGACTCGCAGAAAGAAGCACTATTATTTACTTCATTGTATTACTTACTACAGTAGCATACTTAGGAGGTTTTCTTGGCTGCCCGGAATCACCACTTCTACCTCAACACTTTTACTTTACTAATTGTTAATAAAATGCAGTATATTCTTACTCAAACAGTGGCTCGAGTTTTAAGTTTCCATTATCACAATTCCATTAAAATACAGTTTGAAAGCTTATCTTTCTCAGAAAAACAGGATACGATGATTTTTCCCCCATAAATAAAATACGGCGCAAAATCTCTACTTCGTCACGCACGATTTGTGCTCGCATGCTCCGGGGCAGGCTGATTCGTTATTTGTTTATTTTGAATTTCGCGCAAAGCTACTCGAGGCCTTTTTGTGCTAGCCGTCCCTAATTTTGAAGAGATACACTAGAGGGAAGGCAACTAGACAATACCACCCACAAACAACTCTTGGGCTACTCTTTACCAACGAATAGTAGGATTGGCCGAAAGTTTATAACGTCCCCTACAACTGAAAGGGTAAGCATGTATGAGGACAAGATTCGAAACCACTACCAGAATTGATATGTGTATACTTCTATTAATTTATTTATTTGTATAACTCTATTGTTTTACCCGTGTATTACTACAGCTTGCCTAGCTGTATGCCATTGAAGCTTTACACATTCATACGTTACTAAGGCTTATATGTTTTTCTATGGATTTATATATATAGACTGATAACTCTGCACTGTGTTCAACTTCATAAGGTTCTGCGTTTAATAATACCACTGTATTGCATTACTGGTAAATATATCCGTATAGTTTTAGTGACCTGTGTACTATTGTAGCCTTACTGGTTTCTATAATAATAAAAATGATTATGGTCTCTGAATTAGTATAAGTTGACTAACCTGTATACTAGTATAACCTAGTTTCGGCAATCATCAATACTTAATACATTGTGTTTTAACATAAACTCGCTGACTGATACACCGATATATGTTTACCTGATCAATCTGTATCACTTAGACACACTGGACGATGTATAAATATACAGTAACCTTACCAAGCTGTATTACTTTAGACACTCTGAACAATATATCAACGTACACTGCCCTTATCTAGTTGTACTACTTTAGACACACTAGATGGTGCAACAATATACGTTTACGTTATCGAGTTTTATTACCATAGAAAGAATGGACGAAGTTACAATATGCTGTAGACCCACTGGAAGATTCAATAAAATATGCTTACGATTTAATAATATATACTTACCTTATGAAGCTATACTACTGTAGACACAGTGGACAATAATAACCTGTTAATAATAACAAGTATATAAGCTTAGCGAATGTGTTTTACTAGAGACTTACTAGACTATATAGTAGAAGAAACTTCTGGACTATGAACTGCTACTGGCCAACTCAACTGACCTGTAACAGGCTCTTACATTACATGAGTGGACTATAGCGCAAAGTATATGCAACCTAACAGCCAAATCTGTGAACGAAAAGTCTTATGACTTAAATGAACTGATGTGCTATCTAATAATTCCTTAAAACTCTTAAAATTATATCTGTTAATAGTTTGGAAAAGTTAGCTGATTAGGGTAGTTAGTACTGAATTATATCCGCATCTTGAAATAGCGTTTTATAATCGTCTTTTGATTAGGAATAACCTTAGGTCACTGAGAAGGGATGGTATTCCACTAAACAGGTTGGACTCAGGGAAGAGAGTTAATACTTTGATTTAATCAAAAACCGATAAAGGAAATCACAGCAAAATAATTAACACGTTGGTGTGTTGTACATTTAAACATCAAATCTTGCAAGCAATACTCAAATACAAGTGTTGCATTTGTGTGCACAGAAATGTTATATTGTAAGTGCTTCATAAAAATGTATAAAGTTGTTACCTGTAGAAATATTTGTATATACAATATATTACATTTATTACCTTTAAAAAGGTTTGTATATACAATATATTACATTTGTTACCTTTAAAAAGGTTTGTATATAAAATATATTACATTTGTTACCTTTAAAAAGGTTTGTATATAAAATATATTACATTTGTTACCTTTAAAAAGGTTTGTATATAAAATATATTACATTTTATGTGATTAAATTGTACAGAAGTATATTAAACCGAATATTACTGTCATGTGCGTGCACGTGTGTTTCTTTCTTTTAGAGCAAACCCACACTGAACTATCTGTATGTCCACCGTGGGGAATCGAACCCCTAATTTTAGCGTTGTAGGTTCGTAGACTTACTGCTGTCCCGTCGGGGGGCATACTGTCATAGATGTACACTTAAACTTACTTACAAAGATACATATTAAATATGTTGTTTATATTTCGTACGTATAATGAACTATAATGTTTTTCTTTTCAATATATATATATATATATTGGAGAAAATTACATCACGCTCATTGTTAGTGAAACATTAATATATAAAAGTGTTACACATATTGTTTTCCTTCTTGCTCATACGGAAACATTTTGTATGTGTTATTAATACATTATATAGTGTTAATAGTGTTACGTGTGCTGTTACTATAATGTTTATAGAAAAGTTTTATATGTGTTATTAGCACAATATTATATAGAGAAGCGTTACGAGTGTTGCAGTTATCACTTTTTATAGAAACGTTTGGTGTGTATTGTTCGTACAACAATATCATAAATAAGTGTTACGAGTGTTACAGCTATCACTTTTTTATATAGAAACGCTTGGTGTGTATTGTTCGTACAACAATATCATAAACAAGTGTTACGAGTATCGCTGCTATCACTTTTTGATATAGAAACGTTTGGTGTGTATTGTTCGTACAACAATATCATAAACAAGTGTTACGAGTGTTACAGCTATCACTTTTTATATAGAACGTTTGGTGTTTTTATGATATTGTTGTACGAACAATAGTTTATAATATTGTTGTACGAACAATACATACGAAACGTTTCTTAAAAAAAGTGATAGCAGCAACACTCGTAATACTTGTTTATGATATTGTTGTACGAACAATACACATCACACGTTTATATATAAAAGTGATAGCAGCAACACTCGTAACACTTCAAGTGTTACGAGTGTTGCTGCTATCACTTTTTTATAGAAACGTTTCGTATGTATTGTTCGTACAACAATATCATAAACAAGTATTATGCGTGTTAGTGCTATCACTTTTTATATAGAAACGTTTCGTATGTATTGTTCGTACAACAATATCATAAACAAGTATTATGCGTGTTAGTGCTCTCAGTTTCTTCTACAGACACGTTTTAGTAGTATCATTGGTACTACATTAATACAGATATTAAGTGTATTGTACTATATTAAAGATCAACCTTAAAACCATATTTTAGTGCCAGAAAACTAACAAAGGTATTAATGTTTTATATTAAAATGCGAGTGTCTTACCTGCATACTTTTTTGACTCCAACTTTTCTTTGAACTCTTGCAGGTGTATATTCACTACAGTCTGAACCTTGATGATAGTTTGACTTGACGCCGGCTTCACGCTGTTACATCTTTAGTGAGGCAAAACTCTCGAGCTGATTGGCTAAACAATAGGGAGAGGCAGGGTTACGAGCCGTGAGTTCAGTAGTAAACTCAAGATGAGTATTAAAATAAACTATTCTTTGTTTACTTATTTATTCTTTATAGCTCCAAAAGCGAGAATTGTGTCTTTTAACCATCACTCTCAATCCACTTTGGTAGAGCTTGTCTCTTTGCCATGCCGGAACAGGCACGAGCATCGCCACGCCTGTGTTGCCATCTCTATTTTCCTAGTGGCTTTTGATATCTTCGTTCGAATCATTTATTGGACAGTTTGACATGGCTGGTGACGTAACGCACAGAAACGAAAGTATTGAAGTTTTCCAAAATATTTGTTTTTCTTCACTCAGACAGTTCTCCTTGGAGTTGGAATATCCAATAAATTACTATATAAATTGTTTTTAAGTTAACAAGTATGTGTCTAAGCTAATTAAATTTTTAGAAAGCTACCCACGGGAATATTTGTTTGAATTATACCCACATTACACACACGTTATTATTATTGCATATATCCCAACTTTAAAAATGCATTATCAAATAAAGAATTCAGGATTTTTTTACAGTAACTTGTAAACTTCCTACTGACAAACAATGTGTAATTCTTTTATTATCCTGTGATAATCCTATTGACAAACAGGATGTAATTCGTGAAGTAGCCTGTAATATTTCTACTGACAAACAGAATATAATTATTTTTGTGACCTGTAATATTGCTACTGACTGTAATTCTTGTAGTAACTTGTAATATTCCTACTGCAAACTGTAAGTTGCCCTATTCACAAATAGGTGTAATTATTTTGGTATTTCTTCTGTTATATCAGAAATATTTTTGCAATATTTCTTCTGTTTCGTCAGATATACTTATATAAATTAACAATTAAATTACTGCTTATGAATCAGTAAAAAACTTTCATTTTTTTACTGTAATATCTGGAAATTTGCAAAATATCTAACTTGTAAAATCCACGATAATAGATGGTTAATAGTTAATAGATGTTATTCGATTACGCCTTCATAACAACATAGAAATAGCTCAGCTTTTGCTTTAAAAACAACAAAAAAGTAGTTTATCTGATTAATATAAATATCAGTATACAAGTATAAAATATCATCACCAGGTCTCTTAGTTTTAGGAACTTCCATTTTGGATTTCAAATCAAAGATATATAAATGGACAAATTAAGAGTAATGTAAAAAAAAAAAACGTCTGAAATGTTCATGATTTTGAACACAAATACTAACCCTGGCGCTAACCTAACCGTAGCATTTAAGGCTTGTTGCAAGTACACAGTGAAAGTACATTACACTGTTGAATAATAATACAAAAGTAGGAACCTGATGAAGGACTGTTGCCCGAAACGTCGTTTTATTGTTTTATTAATAAAGTTATTTTAATTTGGCGAGTTTTTACCACGACTTTATTTTCTATTTTGCATTTTGTTATTTCCTCTCCTACGCAATCATTTTATTTCCTGTTAAGTTTGTCCATGCCATTGTTAGGAAAAATACTGAAGTTTGTGTAAACCAGCCAACGCGGCTAAAGCTGTCAAAACCGACTGTTTTATTAGAAAAAAAGAACATCGTGAGAACTGCTTCTATTATTCCAACAGCAGAACTATCTTCCCTAAATTATAATTTGTTACAATCATAGATAGACAAATATCTTACGGTTTTGACTTTTAATATAGACCTTGATAGCCTAATAAATACCTTGGTACTTTGCTAACACAAGTAAAATAATGTATGTTTTTATTCTGTGAAACAGAAAAAATATCCTAAGTAGTACATACAACCCGACAAAATAACAGTACCTACACACTCTAACCTGTTAGAAACAAATAGCCCGAAAAATAAAACAAACATATAACATCTTTAAATAAAATTATAATCTTTAGGTTTCACCTTGGTAGAAACGTTTGCATGATAATTAATTTTAGCAATAGACAAACAAATTAATAAATATAAGAACAATTCGATCATCACGGTTCACACTCTAAGCTCCCTTCTTCTCAAATGAAAAAAATAGGTTGATAGATATGGGATAACCCGAACGTTAGAGATAAACAAATAGGTTAATAGATATGGGGATAACCTGAACGTTAAAGAAAAAAAATAGGTTGATAAATGTGGGGATAACCCGAATGTTAGTGACGAGCAAATAGATTGATAGACATGGGTTAACTCGATAGCTATAGTCAAACAAATAGATTGATAGATATGAAGATAACCTGAATGCTAGAGATAATAAACAAATAGGTTGATACATAAAGAATAACCAAAATGATAGTTAATATTGGAATACCACAACCAATAAAGTTCGCATGCTAAGTTTCTTTATTCTAAAGACAAACAAATAGGTTGATAGATATGAAGATAACCTGAATGCTAGAGATAATAAACAAATAGGTTGATACATAAAGAATAACCAAAATGATAGTTAATATTGGAATACCACAACCAATAAAGTTCGCATGCTAAGTTTCTTTATTCTAAAGACAAACAAATAGGTTGATAAATATGAGGATCACCCTGCCAGCGCAGTTCAAGTCCTCAAGATTTACTAGTTGTTAGATAAAAATTAATAGCTTTAATAATATGCGTGTCGTTTTGCTGCAAACCAGAAATCATTTATTGCAATATAGAGGTTGAGTAAGGTATATTAAAACATTTTGAAGCCTCGCCATGTCGTTACAGTCCATGTCGCCACGTACGATCATGCTCAGTCTTACGACCGTGCGTTTTGACAATAGCCCTGCAAGGTATTTTCCATTGCAAAAGGCTCCGTCGTAAAACTGTTGTGTTCAATACACACCACTCCTCCTTCAAGCTTTTCATAATCCATTTAGTGTACGAGGACAACAATTTTCCAGCACCAGTTTCTACAGTCCGATCGTATAGAAAACCAAAAACGCTACTTCCGGCGATTTGACCAGGATGTCCTTGTATGGAATAACACGAACATCTGTTTCATTCTCCAGCTGCTTTAGACATGCTTTTCCAGACAGAGACTCTTTTCGAGTATGTTGTGTACTCTTGGACGGCTTTTGACACTAGTGTTTGTGTACGGGGATTCTCACCTTTTACAAATCGCACTTTTTTTACCATGGCTGGGGTACGACTTGTTGTAGGTCTCTTTCTGGATGGTCCTGGGTCAAAAGTTGATCCATATTGTTTTGTTTTCCAACGCCATTAAAAACAAATGATATTCCTGTCTTGGAAATTATAAATCCATAATCTGAACACATCTTCATTATTTGAGTATATAATTGTGTTGTGTCGAAAATGGCTGTAACGAACTTTTCCAAAAAACGAACAATCTTTGGTGATAACACTAACTACGCAACGTCAGTCAATGTCAAAATGCATTTCCGATACACGTCGTTCTACTGTGACTTCATATTGACTATGTTTGTGACTTGACTTAATGAGTTCCAAATTAAAAATAATTTTAACATAAAAACATACCCCTCTGTACAAACGTTCTTGGTTGCGAAACAGAATCTGTAACTAAGCAAAGTAGATCAGGAACTTTCCTTGTTATCAAATACAAAGGTGCATAATGTACCGCAGGGATTGAATTCCAGATTTCAGCATTAAAAGTCCTCAGGTTTAACGCTAAGGCACTGAAGTGATATATTAGAAATAGTCTCTATAAATGCTGAATAAATAAGTATCATCATTCGCTATTATGAAAGTAATAAGGAATTCGTAATACCGGTAAACTCTTTAACCACAATTTATTATCAGTATCAATGATTTTTAAATCCAAATCTCCTAAATAAACTCTTCATTGATACTATTCTATTAAACAAAGTAGGTGAGTTTAGAAACTTAAGACTTCCGATTCTCTTACATCTGCGACAGATTACAGAGACGAAAAACAAAGGCAGATATAATGGTAACAACATTTAATCTGATACACGTTTGTGGATTTAGCTTTTTTTAGTGAAACATTTCTCTCGCTGTCAGAATAATTAAACCAACAACTCTATTTGCTAAGAATGGACAATCCTCTACTAAATGCTCTTATAAACATCGCCAGAATTGCATGGTTTTGAATAACTTTATAATAACTCCTGGCTATGTTAAAAACAATGTTTTTGCAGATTAAGGTTTAGTATTAGGCCTATTACATTTTTAGACACTACCTTCTTAATCTAATCCCTTACAGATTTTCACCAATTAGAAGAGTGTATAATAATAGTATTCACACTACATTCTTAATCTAATCCCTTACAGATTTTCACCAATTAGAAGAGTGTATAATAATAGTATTCACACTATATTCTTAATCCAATCCATTACAGATTTTTACCAATTAGAAGAGTGTATAATAATAATATTCCAACAACACTATATTTATCATATACATTGCCGACGATGCTTTTCGCTCAACTCAGAGCTCTCGAAGCTAGCTGGGATACAATAAACACAGCAGTGATCGGAACATAATTTGTACAAACCATTTGATACAACAACAGTTGTTATAGTGTGTACGCCTTTTAGAAGCTGGTGAAGCATGATTACAATTATATTTCACACTTCGTCGGCTTGCAAAAGGCTTAAGCCATAACAATTGTTAAAGTATCTTGGAATGTTTTACTACAAAAATGATTAAGACAAATTAAATCCGTCAAAAACACCTGTTTAAAAGGTTCTTGACGAGAATTGTTTGATCTATGTTCAAATTTTTGCAAATGTAAAGTTAATTGAAAAAATAAAACTACTATAAACCCTGTAACATCATAATTTGTTCAATGACGTAGAAGTTGTTGTTGTTGTGACACAATAAACGTTACAATTTATTACGAACAACCACTATCTCTTTTTATCTTTTTATATTTACGTATAATTCTGTAACTCGATCTATTTATGTACGTAGCTTCCTATATAAATACGTATTTATATTTAAATATATTACAAAATGAACAGATATTTGTGCACACGTACATATGTATGCATATATCAATTTCAATTTGCTAAAGTTATTCTGCGTGAGTCCTAAGTTTATACTAATAGTAATTAGATTATTAATACCCACAGGCAGTAATGTTATGGAACGATTTTCTGCAGAATCATAAGTTGAAAAGCGTCAGGCTTGTTCTTGTTGTATTTTGTTTAGGTTTTGTTTTTGTTTTTCCATAAGTACTTTGACCGTTAGAGTTATATATT